TTGTTAGCCATTGGGGCAAGAAACTGCTCTTGCCTGGACTGCTTGATTATATGTTGTATGAACTGGACGTGCAGGACCCACAGAAAATTACAGCTGAACTTGCCTAAAAGTGAGACAGTCCTTTAGGGTTCCGGTTTCATGAAAGCATCTACCAGATATTCTGAAGGACACAGAAAAAAGTGACTGACAAGTTGTCAATATAGGCAGAAATGCCTTTGAAATTTCCTGCTTCGTGGAAAAGTCTGCCAGATACTATGGACCTATAGACTGAAGATGGATGCCCCAATGTTACAGAAGAACTTTGGGTGACTGTTCAGGCAGCAAGATGTCTTTGCAAATTCTAGAGTTTTGAAAGTTGTTTACAATGCACTTCATGTTTACTTAGGTAATATTATATTCTTCTGTATCGGCGAATCAATCCCACACCAGTTATGTTTTAAGGGGTTATTTATTTTGGGGGGTAAAACTTACATACACCATAAACCGTCAGGAAGGGAGCCTAGTCGCAGGAGCTGGGAGCAGGAGCCAGGAGCAAGCACCGGAACCAAGAGCCGGAACCAAGAGGGCCTATTCCGGATATGCTTCTCTTTTTAAAAGAGAAATATACCACGCCCCAGTGGGCTGGTATTTCAGCAGCTATTGGCTGACGGAGCGGAAGTCGCTCCCCGCTGCACTGTGGGCTCGTATTTCAGCGACTATTGGTTGAGGCAGCGGAAGTTACTCCCACAACACTTCTGGAGTCTTTGATGGAGTTGAAAAAAAAATAGTTATAATTATAAAAGATAGACTAGGTGTAAGACTTTAGACTCTCAAAGACAGGATAGATGATAGAGTATTTCCCTTAATCTTTCAAATGTAAATGGACTAACTATTGTAACTATAATTCTTGTTTGATATCTGTTTGTTTAATATGTAATTTTACTATGTTAAAGTTAAAACTTTCCTTTTTATTGGGACAGAAAAGAGGAAATAGTGTGGGAAGTCCTTTCTGTGTATGTGTTGTTTTTATTGGTTAATAAAGGAGCTTATTTTGGCCAATGGCTTAATAGAATAAAGCCAGGTGGAAAATCTGAACAGAGTCATAGAGAAAAAGAGAGAGAATAGGTAGAGTCAGGGAAATTCCATGTAGCTGCCAAAGGAGATGCCTGCCGGAGCCTGCTAGAACCTTGATTATAGGCTCTGACTTTGTGGTCATGAACAGATTAATAGAGGTGGGTTAATTTAAGATATAAAAGCTAGCTAGCAATATGCCTAAGTGATTGGCCAAGTGTGTTTTCATTAATACATTTTCTATGTGATTATTTCAGGTCTGGGTAGCCAGGAATAAACAAGTTGTCTCTGTCTACAATAGCAAGACTTGAAACCCCCAACATACATGAAGCAGAAGAAAATGACCTTAAAAATAACTTTAGGAAGACGATTGAGGCCCCTAAAGAAGAAAGGATAAAATTTCCTCAAAGAAGTAGAGGAAAAGACACTCAAAAAATTGGGAAGAAATCAATAAATCCATTAAAGAAAGCCAAGAAAAAACAATCAAACAGGTTGAAAAAAACAATTCAAGACTTGACAATCAAAATAGAGACAATAAAGAAAACCAAACCAAGGGAATTCTGAAAATGGAAAATATGGATAAATGATCAGGAACCTTAAACGCAAGCATAAACAGCAGAATACAAGAGTTGGAATAGAGAATTTCAGGTGTTGAAAATACGAAAGAGGAAATAGATTCATTGGTCAAACAAAATGCTAAATCTAACAAAAGTTAACATAAGATATCCAGGAAATATGGAACACCGTGAAAAGACCAATCCTAAGAGTAACAGGGATAGAAGAAGGAGAAGTCAACGAAATCAGAGAAGAAGACTTGCCCAGCATAAAGAAAGTTATGACTATGGAGGTACAAGAAGTTTACAGAACACCAAATATACTGAACCAAAAATTAAAAAAATTCTCGCACTACATAATAATCAAAACACTAAACATACAGAATAAAGAAAGAATGTTAAGATCTGCAATGGAAAAGGTCAAGTAACATATAAAAGTAGACCTATCAGAATTACACCTGATTTCTCAAAGAATCAAGGAAAAAATAAAGAAAGAAATTAAAGACTTCCTAAAATTTAATGAAGATGACCCCACAACATATCCAAAGAAGCTTGTGTCAAGTTAATAGAAAATCCAGCCAAACAAACAAACAGAAATTCAGGGCACCTAGATTCAGTTACTCGGCAAACAAACACTGGCAAAGACCCAGACAAGAAGGAACACACCACTGGAGGCCAGGGTGGCAAGATAAACCAGTCCAGCCACTGCGGAAACGAAGCCAGAAGGAAGCATCGTAAAACATCTAAAAGTAGAGTCTATACGACCTAGCTATCTCACACCTGTGTTTACCCAAAGGAATTCAAAGTACCATATTCCCGAGACAGTGGTGCAGTGTCGTTTGCTACGGCACTATTCACAAGCACTAAGCTATGGAACCATCCAAGCTGTCTAACAGCAGATCACTGGGTAAAGAAAATGCAGTGTCCCCACATAACGGAACTGTTTTCAGCTACAAAGAAAAATGATGTTACGTCAATTGCAGGAAAATGGACGCGACTAGAGGTAATGATATTAAGCCAATTCCAGCAAGACAAATGTTTCTTCCTCAATTTTGATCCATAGATTATGTATAAGTATATTAAATTATGCACGTATATATGACATGAATGCAGAAGAAAAAACTATTTAGGGGAACAAAAAGGGCTAATGGGGGCAAGAGGAGTCTTGGGGAAATATGCTTAGCGCAAAATAAATCCTTGCATGTAGATGGCCTTATGAAACACAGACCCATGTCTAATGAATATGCACGATGAAAATTTAAACAGGTCATTTTCCGGAAAGGCAATGAAACCTGAAATGTATAAACCCCAAATATAGCAAACATATTCTGTAGTTTCAGATTTGTGCAGACAGTATCTTACACTGTGTGCAGTGACGCCCTGCAGTAGTATACCTCACACGTAGCTACTGTTTGACAAATTAGCAGCCCCCCCCCATTGAAACAAAGCTTTCATACAAGCAGGGAGATTAGAGAGCTTTGTTAGAAATATTTCAGAGGAAACAAAGAATCCATCAAGTAGGAGGAGCCAAACACACACAGTCGTTCACGTGCACACACTCACACACTCCTGCAGGCATGCACACATGCAGACACACACTCACACATATGCACATAGGCACATACTATACTGTAGAGTCAAATAATACTCATTCATTTTTAATCTGCAACCCTGTCAAAATGAAGCCTAGAAATGCTATGAACTTCCATTACAACCCATTGATATATTCACAAGAGTTGCTTAGTAACCAAAAGTCTAGAAGCATAGGTTCCTTCTAGTTAAACATTAATGCACGAAGAGACCTGAATGTCCACAGCACTCTGGGCCTTCCCCAAAAAAACCAACTTCACACTGTCTGTGAGCAGCAAGTAACACGAGAGAAAACTTATTTTGCTAACTTGACAATTTCATCTTAAAGAAAAGTCAGCATTAGCACTGCTTCCCGATGAGATTTTTCTTAAGAAAAGCGCTCCTAATTAAGCTTTCTATTAGCGATACGATGAAAACTGGAAATAGGTTTCTGCTAGGATCTCTGAGTCTCTGTAAATAAGTTTAGACCTCTTTAAGTCTATTTGGTAAGATTTGCCTTTTTATCGGTTGCTGATTAAATACATGGCATTTGCTCTAATTTACAGACCATTTCCACTGAAGCACGAAATCTGTGAAGATTCCCCCCATTCCAGTGAACACGGTCTTCCCATAATGCCCTGCTGCTGTCAGGATTCCAGGTACTGTGAGGTCACGTGATGCCTGGAAGGATTGGAACATATCACAGAAAACAAAATACCTACGAAAACAACACACCTTAATGGACAAGAAGAACGGGGAGAGCCTGGCTTTCCTCCCCACACTCGCCCTACCTGCCAGCAGCTGTCTTTGGAAGAGCTGGCCCTCACTGGCATAGGTAATGTGCAGCCCTTAGAAGCCCCAGACACTATGCAAATGCCCTACTTAGTGCTGACCTTCATAGCACCAACCCAGGGCCCAGCGACCAGAAATTTCCCTTCAGTCTTGCGTGGAGGAGTCACATTTTAAAGCCTGTCATTCTTCATCGGGAACTGCCACTTAACTGTCAGTAATATGGCTTTTAGAATTTAAATTGTGCAGGGTGTAAAAATAATTCTTAACAGCAGGTAATTGCGGTTTATAATTTGTTTCCTCCTCTAAATGCTCCACCGCCAGATTCTGAGCCTTAATCATTGGTGGTGATTGTGAGTTCTCAGTTTGGAGGAACTGGTCAAGAAATAAATACTTCTATTAGAAAGTGGTAGCCATGGAAGAAGAGGAGAGATACTGGAAAAAAAATACTAGATTCTAAACACTTTTAGCTTACTATTAAAATGTTAAATGTACATTATGCTATATTAGCTACCTTACAATTATAATTTTATGGTCATATTAACGAAAATTTCACACTAATTTCCTTACAGTTCCCAGGCAAGATTTGGCTTCTACAGCACCCTCTCTGTTGCATTGAAGATGGCCTGTCTTCCTATGTCCTTCACACATCAACATCCCTGGTGTCTCTTAATGGTCAAGTATCATTTCTTTTTAAAGATTAGCTTTCATTTTTAACCATCTGTATGTGTTTTATGTGGGTATGGGCACGGAAATGCAGGTGCCCCTGGAGGCCCGAGGTCTTGAATTCCCTGAAGCTGGAGTTAGAGGCAATTATAAACCGCCCGACTTCGGTGCTGGGAACCAAACCCAGGTCCTCTGGAAAGAGCAGGGTGTGCTCTTGACTACTGAGCTAACACTCCCGTCCCTCACACTTCATCTTTCTGTAAAGTCAGCAGACAGATTGGGTCAGGACCCTTGCTAGAGGCCTTATTTGAACCTAATCTGTTCACCTTCTGCAGCTAGGGCTACGTTTTCAACTTATGATTAATCTTCAACGAGCAGATTGTAAGGACACTTTCCTTGATGATTCAGCATTTGAGTTTGGACATTTATGTATCGGTCACCATACAGAAAAAGCAAGGGCCCTCTGGAATGCAGTTTGTACAGAGAAGCCCCTGGGATCTTTGCACTTGAAAGACATCCACCTTCCCTGTCTGCTGAGAGTCGTGTAGCTGTTTACAGTTCTTAAATGCAATTACAAATTCAGCTCCTCATTTTTTTTGCTTGTCATCTTTCAAGGTGCACTCATAGTATGTGATTTATGACGACAACATGGCAATGCTAATATCAAACAGTTCCATCATTCCAAGCTATTGCTGGTGGGCTGTCATTGCTGGACATGAATTTGCCCCTTTGAAGTCCTCTGCTGTCCTCAAGGGAGCACAGTAAAACCAAAGTCCTGAGCTCTGCTGTTTGAGCTGCAGCCTTTTCCCCGTTTCTGTCCTCACGTTCACGCAGGTCCTGACCACCACACTTCTGTCTATGTCTCTACTCTTGTCTTCCCTTCCAACTCTACTCTTTGCTCTTTTAACTTGTTTTTCTCCTCCTAAGGACACTATTCTTTTGCCTCTGCTGCTGTCTTTTTTTTTTTTTTCATTTTGAATGCTGTGATTGAGCTCTAAAAGACTTTGCCTTCTACTCTGAAAATGCCATTTCTCTTTATGTGTTTGGCCACATGACAGAGTTGAGAATTACCTACGAGACAAACCTCTGCGAATGTGTGTGAGGGAGGACCGTCTAGGTTGTGTTAACTGAGTCGGGATGTCCCACCGTCAATGTGGGCAATGCCATTCCCTAGACTGAGGTCCTAGACATTATAAAAAGGGGGAAAGCAAGCTGAATACCAGCATTGCTCTCGCTCTCGGCTTCTCGGTTACAGATCCACAGTGACCAGCTGCCTCCAGTGCCTTAAAGCAAGCCCTCCCGACTCTGAAGGACTGTATTCTCAAACCGTGATTCAAAATGAACGTTTCCCCCCATAAGTTGCTTTTTCCAGGTATTTTGTTTTAACAATGAGAAAACTAGTCTAGAGAAGTAGGGCCGCCGCTGTGATAGCCCTGACTGTGTAGTTCTGGAAACTGACTAATGGGGGGAGTCTGGAAGCGTTTGGAACTTCGGACTAGGAAAGTCCTAGGATGCTGTAAGCAGGGCTAACTGCACCGCTGTGGTGAGACTTTGGAAAACCACATACACAGAGGGGCAGTCGGGCTTGTGAGGTTTCCAAGGGAAGCAAAGACTCATCAGGAATTGGAATTCCAGTGGAGTTTTCACAGTGAGCCTAGCCGCATTCTTCCCAGGTCATGAGAATCCAAGAGGCTCAATTCAGGAAATGGGATGATTTTAGTTTGGTAGAGGAAGTTTTCAGAAGGATAGCATTGAGGCTTGTTTTCGGGTTTCTATGGCTGGGAAGAGACACCATGACCACGGCAACTATTATAAGGAAACCATTTAATAGAGGTGGCTTGCTTACACTCTCAGAGGTTCAGTCCATTATCATCATGGCGGGGAACATAACAACATGCAGACAGACATGGCGGAGGAGTAGCAGGAAGTCTTCCATCTTACAGGCAAGCGTGAAACTACAGCACTGAGTGAAACTTAAGCAAAGACCTCAAAGCCCGCCTCCGCAGTGACACACTTCCTCCAACGAGGCCAAACCTACTCCAACAAAACCACAGCTCCCAATAGTGTCACGCCCTTTGGGGGCCATTTTCTTTCACACTACCACACGGCTCCTTGTGCTTCTCCAGAGCAGCAGTGTGAGAGGGTGAAAAGGAGAGCAGGAAGAGCTGAGAAGAATGCACAATCTGATAAGAAAAAGGTGTGAGTGAATTTAAAGTCACAGACAGGCAGCTTTGAAAGCACCTGTAACTGTTTGAAGAGATTAGCATCGTTAAATCGAAATAGGGCGCTAGAGCACAGGAATTAAGGTATGCTGAGGGCAAGACCACACCCATTAAAGGTTCCTTCTTGTGAAAGTGCAAATCTATTTAAAAGAGGAGAATTCCTTCTAAATCAAGAGTTCCACTGCAGGGGTAAAAATCAGCTGTCTAGCAAACTCCTGCTCCGAGGTTAGCACAGGAAGACGGAGGCAATGCTAGTCCAAGGAGAGAAAGGTTCATCCCAAGCTGGTAGTGTAACCTGATAGTGCCATCTATTTGGTATTGGTTTTATAGACGGAAGATTGAGGAGGACATGGAGTTTTGCTTCGTGGTTTCTTCCAAAGAGCCTTTGAGCCAGACAACACATGACAGGATTAGAATCCCTGAGACGCAGATTATTATTTTAGGGATAATACCACCATGTAGAGCTGTGATGGTGAAGGCTAAATTTGCAATGCAGTCCCCTGATGTTAGAATTTACAAGCCAGCCCGTAAGGAAAGCTGCAGATAGAGAGTGACGATGGCCCAGAGAAAAGCTGTGTGGGCTGTGTGTGACATAGCTGAAGGGTGAGACTCCTTCGTCTCTGATGATCCTACCATAGTCGCAGATGCTATATACATGGACCTATACCTGATAGATATCTGCCCTGTTAGGCTTGACTCTTGCTTTGGTCTGATGTTTCCTTTCTTTGCCCCCATTTCTCACTTTTGCAATGAGAATGCTAACTCTGAACCAATGTGTGTGGAGGTATGTAAATAGTTTTTAGGAGTTCATAGTTAAGGGATCACCTGGGTCTCAGAAGAGACTTTGTACTTAACACTTCTGAAGAGTTGGAACTGTTAAAAAAAAACTATGGGGACTTTTGAAGTTGGGATGAATGCATTTTGCATGATGAAATGGCCGTGAGTCTAAAGGGACAAGGGATGGAAGATTATGGCTAAACTTTACAAGTTTACACATCAGTTGACAAGGGGTGATTTGTGTTCATTAATATTAAATATTAGTTTGAAAGGATCTGGAATCATCTCAGAGATAAAACTCTGGTCATGTCTGCAAGGGGATTTCTGAATTAAGGAAGACCACTCCAGATGAGATGGCAATGTTCCATGGACTGAGGGTCAAGGCTGAATAAAAAGGAGATTGTGAGCTGAGCACAAGAATTCCTGACTTTCTGCTTCTTGATTGTAGATACTAGGTGACAGCTACTCCACATCTCCTGCTGCCACGATGAACTATACCACTGCGCTGTGAACCAAGAGAAACCTTTCCATTGAGCTGATATTTTGGTAAGGTAGTTTGTTGCATCGATGAGCTGCTAATACAGCTGCCCTTGAAGTTGTTTTTGGTTCATTCAGATATGCACATTAGTTTAAGAATGCCTGGTGACTGGGCAGAGAATGATGTGCCTTCATGACATATCTTAAAAGTACATCGTTCGCTAGAGTTCATTTTCTGTCATCCTCTTTTTTTTTTTTTTTTTTTTTTTTTTTTTTATTCTGGCATCAACCCTTAAGGAGTTGTTCAGTCCAGCAGTCATTATACTTGAGAGTCAGGCTACCTGAGTTCCAGAGTTCCAACCATACTATCTTGGTGTCTGCATATGTATCCCTGCTAAAAGACAAAATAAGTCAACTAACCAATATAAAGAAAAACAGGAAGGGGATATTGATGGAGAGATTAGGGAAGGAGTGAAAAAGAAAATTAATTATTAGAAGAAAAAAATCTTACATTACTGAGAAATCTTGGTAGCAAGATTATTGAAAAAAATGTTCTAATACCTTGAGTGTCACCTAATTCCATAGACATAATTTGTACACCAACTTGTCTTAAGTACAAAAATTTGCCAGGCTCTGAGAAGAGCAGTTTAAAAGTTTTATTGCTCTTCCAATGTTTTTCAACACGTAATCTCTATTTCTTTCATTTATTGATTACTTTGCTAGACTCGACAACTGACTATTTCTTTAACCAGTGACATGCCTATACATGATCAGCCTCTTGGGATCTTCAGCTATCCTATAACACATGAAAAGTTAAAGAACCTGCAGTCAAACAGTTCAGAGTATAGAGTGTCACAAGTGGCCGTCTGCTTAACTTTGGGGGAAGACACAAAGATGAAGAATTAAGGACTATGTCTTTGGCTTGGTTTGAAAGTGCCGCACTCTTTTTTTTTTCTAGCCATGGCCCATTTGACAATGAATTTTGTCTCACTGCCTGTCAGGTTCTTCACTTGTCCCACATCTAGCTCAATTCACCACTGTGAGGTTACGTAAGACTTATGTGGAAGCGCCACATAAATTCTTCACCAGTCTGGAGATATGAGAGACAGCCAGCAGATGAGGAGCACCGCAGAGACAAGAATAAGACAATATTTCTCTGTGTTGTCCTAGCTAATGGATGCTGTGAAAATCTTATGACTCACTTTCCCATGGCCTACACGTTTAGGTGGAATTCAAAAATATCAAAATCAAATTTTCATGGTGGACTTTTTTGCTATAAATATGATAAAGGAAAGGTATTGAGATGTGAACACTTTCTGTCTCTTGGGCTAACAAATAATTGTGCATAGAAATGTGTCTGTAGGTCTATGTGTATATATGGTGAGTGCACATGCAAGAGATGGTTGTGAAACTTTTACATGTGTATAAGTAAGTGGTGTGTGTGTGTGTGTGTTGTGATATATGCATTTGTAGGTTGATGTGTGTGTTCTGGATGACGTGAGTATGTGTGTAAAGGAATCTTCATGTGGGTAATGTGGTATTGCCTGTGTGTGTATCTGAATGAACCCGATAATGACATTTTGTCCATTAGTCCACTCTACGAATTCTGGTTTCAACACTTCAGTTCCACTTGTTTTCATGTATATTTTAGAGTCTAAAATTGTCTTGTTCCAATACTAGTAAACAATAAACTTGTAGATTAAACATTAAAGTTTGCCCTTTCTTCTCCCATTCACAAAGGGCATATAAAGAGTAAATGCCAAAGACTGTCCAGTTAAAAGCTTTTCAAAGAAGCACTGGTAATTTTCTTCCTATTTAGTATTCCCCTAAATGTTCTCATAACACAGCTCAAATCTTATCACCTTCTAACCATAGGATATTTCAGATATTTAGCTAATTCGTATTGAGGGAATTTAGTAGATAACTGTGTGTGTATGCATGAGTGGTGTGTGTGTGTGTGTGTGTGTGTGTGTGTGTCTTAAATTTCTTCCAAGTGGACGTTAAAGTGATATGTAGATCTAGCTCTTTAAGTTGAATCACTTCTTTTTTTAAAAAATTCTTATTCTCTGCTTGATTTCCTGGACTAAATAACCATTGATTGATATCCTTGCAGCTTGAAGTAATAAAATGATGTACGCTACCCTTCTTGCATTTAAAGAAAGTGATTATAGTTGTTTTATGATCGTAGTGATTGCCCTTTTTACTTTAAAATTCTGTGTCTGAAAATTATGTCATCTTGATCTCAAGAGGCACCCTATTCAACTTCCATGCAACAGTGAACATCAAATTGAGGTAGAAAGGACTTGCACGCAGCTTAGTTTTAATTAGAGATTTTAAAGGATACCATCAAAAGTATTCAGTAGAGACTATGATTTAGTCTGTGCATTCATTCGAAACATTAGGCAAACTAAATGGAGCTATTTTGCTGATTTGGGCATTGTATAGGCTGGTGATTTACGTTTTCTGTTTTTCAGTGTCTGAGACCAGGTGCTCTTTCATAATATCACCAGGGACTGACCTAAAATCTCCCAAATCCCTAAAGCTTTAAACAAGGTCATGCACATCCCCAGAATAGGCCAGTAACATGTTTCTAGTGTAAGGTCTCTTTTTAGCCATTTATATATGTAATAGTAGTATTGATCGTCAATTTGCAAGGTTCTGGAATCCCCTAGAAGGCAGCTTTCGCAGATGCCTCTGAAGGATGCTTCAGACTAGTTAGTTCCTGGGCTTGCTTTGTCAAGATAATCTTGATCAGGTTAACGAGATTCTCCATAGTAGTAGGTAGTACCAGTCCTCATGTTTTGATTCTGGACTGCATAAAAAGCTTAAAGTTGGCTGAGCACGGACAGTCACTGCTCTCTTATTCCTGGCTATAGAAACAGTGTGACCAACTGCTTCAACTTCCTGCTGCTGTCTTAACTTTCCTGCCATGATATGCTGGGCCCTCGAACTCTGAGCCCAGAGTAAACTCTTGTTTCCTCGAATTGAGTAAAATGAATCTGTGGGGTGTGCGTGTTTGCATGTGTGATATGCGTGTGTAGGTGCTACTGCACATAAAAAAATGGGTATGCATGTGCCTAAGGCTGAGGCTGGGCATCTTCCTTAGTCACTTAGTCACTGAGGCAGAGCTTTTCAATTGAATATAGTAATACTAATATGGCTAGTCAGATTATATTAAGATTCGAAGTCTCTGTCTTTCCAGATCTGGAATTACAGATGGCCCCACCCTACCTCCTGGCTTTATGTAGGCTCTGAAGAGCTAAACTCCAGTCTTCATACTTAAACAGTATGTACTTTAATTATTGAAACTAAGAATATATATAGTAAAATCATATATATATATATACACACATATATATATAATCATATATATGATTATTAGGATACCAGCTATTTTCTAACTAAAGTAGTCAGAACATCCAAAATTCATATTCCTTTATGCATTGTTGATTTGATGTGTGTGAATGTGAATATACATACACACAATACTTTTTAATATCACTTGATTTTATTCTCTTCTATGTTTCTAAATATTACTACTGCCAAGAATATCTTAAGATTAAATTTATTTCAAAAATAAACATAAAATATTTTATCTGTTTTGTACATTTATTTGTTATTATATTTATATGCTTATTAGTTATTTATTATTAATTTGCATGCTTATCTATCATATGTTTTTATCCATTCATAAACAAACAAATTACCCTTTATTAACTAGATGAATGCATTTTGTGTTCCCTTATTTAAAAGCCTGATAAAAGGGTTATAGCCATGCAAAAGGTCTCGAAAGCTTATGATGTGAACACTAAGGCTGATGTTGACTGACAAATACCAAAAGTACATAGAAGGTCCTATGTCGGGAGAACATTCATCACTGATGCCATGTGGGCATAGATACATAATATAAGTCATGGAAAAACTACACTTATTTTCTTTTAACAAAGCGGCATAGTGAGTATATCTCCTCTCTTTCCTTTGGGCCCACCCCACTGCTCCTCAATTACACCTTCATAATCTAAGGATCAATGCATACAAAACCATTTGGAAACTGGTGAGTAAAAGTGGTGCTAGCGACAGAGACTGGAAGGGGTGACAAATAAGAGGGAGAATGGCTAGAGGAAGGGAGAAAGATGAAAGGAAGGAAGGAAAGACCAGTTCCTGGCTTTGATGTATTTCTAAGACCTCATTAGGACTAAATAAGGTTATTCAACTAAATTTGAACCGATGGTATGTGCTGAGAAGGAAACAAGAAGCAATTCATAAATACCTCCAGTAGGGTCTGCTACTTTTTCTTTCCCTACCTGCTCGATGGATTTTGATCCATAATTATCTGAGAATTCATGTGTCAAAAATGTTAGAATATCTACCAACCTGAGTCCCTAATGATTGAATGATGGGTAAAGCAACCTTTTTTTCTATCACAGATTAGACTTTGTGTAAGTGGGGAGAAGGATAAGAGGGTAAAGAAAGTCAGGGTGGTGGAGGTGGTAACTGAGGATGTTTGAACAAGACACAGAAAAGCATCCTATATTATAAGCTCTGTGCGTGGCTGCGTGATGTGTGTGTCTGTGTGTGTGTGTGTGTGTGTGTGTGTGTGTGTGTGTGTATGCACAGTGCATATTCAGAGTTACTCTACACAAGAGATTATGTTTCTCCCAGGAACCATAGGGAGTATAAAAGGTCATACTTAGTTTATTTCCAAGTAAAAATCCCGGCTCCAGGTTTTGTATAGTTCCCCTCAAGCTGTGGTTAGAGGTGTCCTGAAGATGTCCAAAGCAATACAGTCTATTGTCGTTGCTCTTTGTGGCCTACCAGGATTTGATGGTAGGATCCACCAGATCTTATGGCTAGAGATGCCACACACACAATGGTCACAGGACATGAAAAAATCAAGTTGGTAGTGATCAAGAGACTCCCTCCTCACTGGCTCATCTCATGTGCATCTTATGGTGGAAAATGCAGTCCATCCATCTCCAAAACGCTCCCCAAATAATATCCATTCCAGTAGTTCTCCAAAGGCTAAACTCAAAATCTCCCCTGGAGTTCAAGAAAAACTCTTCTGTGGGTCCCTATAAGAAATAAAATCCAAATTAACATGTTTCCAGGAAACAATGACATGGGATAAACATTCCTATTCCCAAAGAAAAAGAAAATAATTTCCCTAAAGATGGACCAAAATCCAGCAGGGCAAATGATACATCTTCTACAGCCATATCCAGCATCTAAGGCACGCCAAAATCTGAGATAAGTACAAGCAAGTTTAAACATTGGTAGCATTGGTCAGATTCTTCTTGTCACTCACATAATTTAATGATATCAGGCTTACTCATTGTAAAACAAAGATAATGATATCTGCCTTTGTTGTGCAGGTATCCTCCTAGGGTTGTAATCTCATAACTGTGTCAACAGGCAATGAAGAAGCTAGAGAACACCAGTTGTATTTGGTGAGGTCATTCAGAACAGGGTTCCAAGCCTAGGAAAGAAAACCTTTTGGGCTTGAGAGCAGATATCAGTTGTTCTTCTGACATTTAAATCCTATCTCGTTATAATGCCCAACACACAGAATAGTATACAAAGTAACAATAAGAAAATGTCAAAACATGTAATGGCTGGCTCTCAGTTGGGTATGGCATTTGTCACATAGCAAAATACATTTTGGCAAGTTGACTCTTAAATCGCTAATATAAAATCACACCGTGCACATTCCGTGTTAGTGTCCATTCTTTCTAACTGTTACATTGGAAACAGATTTGGCAGTCCAGCCATTGCCATGGAACAGCATTACCATATATTCAAACAGTGGTACTGGAGCAAACCTTTCAACACAGAAATCTTAAATTCATTGATCTCTTGGATTACGAGACTGTTTTACATAACCTTCGCACCTAAAAGAGTGTAGGGATTACAAAGTACACTCTAATTTGACCATAAGGCAATCATTTCTGAATGCATGCTAATTCCCTCGAGGGAAGAGAGAAATGCACTATTTCCTGATTTTCTCTCATGAACATGAACTTCTTTTGAGTAGTGTAAACCTTTTTATTGATATGACACATAGAAGGAAATACAAAAATCATGAATATAATCTGTGTGAATTTTGCTAAGCCCACAGAGGCAGAGCACTCCGGTCTGCATACATGATGCTCACACTTTCTCAGAAAGCACGTCACTGCTGCCTTGAGACTCCGTAAGAGCTTAAAGGTAGTAGACAAGTTATCTAAGAGGGAAATTTCATGGAAGCATGGTGTAGCCTGGGTATTGCTGGCTGCTTTTAGCAAAATTTATAGTGATATTAATAGCCAAGAGCAAAAGAATGAACAACATATTTCAAAAAAAAATTGCAGTGTGAACCCTGTTCACAAACCAAAACCAAAGTAAAAACCAAAAACCGAAATCCAGGAGGCTAGAACAGTGTTTAGCATGGAAGAGCTATCTGTAAATATTGAATAAATGCATGAGAAAGGAATGGGTGTCTGACATCAAGCAGCATAGACTGTGGGTCAGCATTCAAGTGTAGGTAGTGAGATTATAAACAGGTGGGTCATTACAATCCTTTCCTGTTCAGTTGAACTAAGTCAACTGCCCTAAGCATTGTGTTCTTTTCCTTTTAGGAAGAAAACACTGTGAATCTCATGTGGGAACCCAATGTGTAGAAAGCATGTGGCCCAGAAGAAGGAGTAGCCTTGAGATGTTTCATTTGAGGGGAAGGAGCAGGCATATTCAGCTTTGGAACTTGGACTTTATGGGACTCAGTTCTCATATATTCTCCAGGGAGAAGATTCCCATCCCTGAAATATGACCTCCAAAACCTGCTGCCTATCACTGAATACAGCAGCCTGCTAGCAGTCTCTGGTCCAAACCCTGAGGCTTCTGAGGTTCTGGGTTAGATCTCCTCAGGACTGGGGATCTGGCTTTGCTGTGAACCATTCCAAGCACCTGTCTTAGTTTAAATGATGAGCCCTTGGGATTCTCACATGTCCTGACTTATATATAGGGCTACACTGACCATGATTGGAGCTACTGGCCATTTCAAGGAAAAGGCACGGTGTCACCATCTACCCAGTCTGGGATGTAAGTCTGAGGCACCGTGAGCAAATCTCAGCATCCACTCACTATGCTGCAGGACCTGCCCATGCTCACTGGTACTACTGCTGGGCCTGCAACCTTTATCCCAAGGATAACAACCACCTCAATTTCTGCACTATAACTCTTTTGCTTCTCTTTGATGTAGAACTCATAACATAGCCCAGGTTAACGTGGAATTCCCAGTAATCCTTCTGCTTCAGCCCCCAAGTACTGTGACTACAGGCATGGAACCACGTGACTAGCTCCAAATATTTCTTCTAAACTGGAAGTTAGATTAAAGATTATTTCTTGAAGGAATTGTGGACTTCACATTTTATCTGTTATCTCAACAAGAATTATACTCAGACAGATCATTGGGTTAAGATAGTCACTCTCAGGCCTGTTGATTATAAAACTGTACATTTATCTTTCTAAATTTCAATCAATATGGAGGCTAGATCCAACTATTTTGTGTTTACAAGATGAATTATTTTAAGGAATATTAATAGAAGTGCTAGGAGAATTATCAGGAAAGCTTTATCTGTAGCGTACATTTTGCTATTTTAATTTCTTTAGCCATTTCTTCTTCCTCTAAATATTCTCTGCCCTCTACTTAGCTCTAAGTTCACAGTGCTACTAGAAAGAAAATGAGAACTGGGTAGGAAAGGTACTCTGGAAAAATTACACCACCAATTTCCTGTGTCTGACTACCAGAGACTGGAGAATATGCTAGCTGGCCCTGTCCTTCCCTGTGTAGCAACCTTCATTTTAAATCCATTATTAATGTTGGCTGCTTGGTGAATCCCATTTCCACTTGGAAAATGTATTCCAAAGAGCAGGTTATTTTAACATTTTTAATAATTATTAAAATGAGTTATTATTAGTTCTTCAAGAATGGCCAACAAGAACAAGAGAACACTGTTGAGAAGAGTTGGGAGTTCTGTTTCAGTAGTTTGAAAGAAGCCATAACAACGGGACAAGATCCTGGTTCTGCCAATGTTCGTGAGCTTCACAATTACTCAGTGAATATCTGTCTCTTCAACGCACTGTGTCAATTCCTAAGGTTGCTTTATTGTCCCATGAGGCACATTACAGGATCTCAAGGGTAGAAAAAGAGCTAGGAGGATATTAAGCCAGAATATGAAGGATGAACATTCACCATGTGTTCAGCAGCCTGGAAATTATTGTTTAATATTAATTTATAGATGATTGCTGAGCCAAAGGACATAATATCCATTATGGAAATGTTCAGTCATGGACGCTGTGCCCCGACACTTATTAATTCTAAGCTGAATATCAAATGGCATGCATCCTCAACTGAACGTGTTCACAGGGACAAGCACTTGGGAAAAAAGCAAAGAGCATCCCATCACTGACGCATGAGGTTCTGCAAACGAAAGAGCACTTTCTTTTTTTCCTGGGTGTAATTAAAGACTTGAGAAAATAAAGGAGAGTGGGAGCCATGTACACGCGGCACAGAGAAAGGAAGAGCATGTCTCTGGGACCGTGGCATAGCTCCATGTGCATCACAGTTAGCTGTACTCGGCAAGGCTTTCCAGTGCCCAGCAGAGACGGGCTTCTGTGTGAGGGTTGGATGGCGGTAAACGAGTCTGTCTGACTCTCTGGTTCATCTGGCCACCTTAGCACTTGCAAAACACATCTGTGACTGGGTTCGCCCTTGTGCGCAGCCAGCACTGGGTTTTAGAAAGTTGGCCAAACGACCTTTTACAGCAAGCAGCCCACAGAGCACAGAAATTCTTTCTACATCACAGATGTTCCCGTGGCTCTGAAAGAGCCCTTGTCACATAAAAATTGCCTTTGTTGTTTTTGTTGTTTTAAAAAACCTGTACACTGTCTAAGTGGCTACCGTGGGGAAGGCCATTGGTTCCCATTTCCCTGACCACAGCTTTTCCTCCTTCTCAGGAGCTAGCAAAGCGTTCAGGGTGGAGCAAATGCCCTTAAATGCTGATGAATGAAAGAATGGGCGCATTATATCAACCAGCATGGACTCTGGGTCAGCACTCGAGTACAGATGGTGAGACTACAAACAGTTGGGTCATTCTAATCATTTCCTGCTCAGTTGAACTAAATAAGCTGTCCTGAGCCGTGTGTTCTTTTCCTTTTAGGAAGAAAACACTACACAACTGTAAATCTCATGCAGGCAACTTATGCATAAAAAATACGTGACCTAGAAGAAAGAGCACCCATGAGATGTTTCATGTGAGGGGAAGGAGTGAGTGAGCAAGCATAGTCAGCTGTGGGACTTAGACTTCATGGGACTCAGTTCTCATGTATTCTCTAGGAAGTAGATTCCCATCCCTGAAATATGAGCCCCAAAACCTGATGCCTATCGTTGAATACAGTGGGCTGCTAGCAATCGCTGGTCCAAACCCCGAGGCTTCTGAGGCTCTGGGCTAGATCTCCTCAGGACTGGGGATCTGGCTTTGCTGTGAACCATTCCAAGCACCTGTCGTAGTTCCGAAGATGAGTCTTTGGGATCCTGGTATGTCCTGACCTGTATATAGGGCTACACTGACCATGATTGGACCTACTGGCCATTTCAGGGAAAAGACATGGTGTCACCATCTACCCAGTCTGGGATGTGAGTGTGAGGCACCGTGAGCAAATCTCAGCATCCACTCACTGTGCTGCAGGACCTGCTCATGCTCACTGGTACCTACCGCTGGGCCTGCCGTCCTTCAATCAGCAACGCTTTGGGTGTCCCGCAGTATAAATAATGCAAATATCTGCCCTATTTGTATCCTGTCAATCACTCAGAGCAGCAGGGCTGTTTGTGGGTATGTGTCGTGTCTGGTTCTCAAATCTCAAGTGTGCTTATGATCAAACCACCACTTTGTGGGAGCTAGCCCCTTCCAAACCCTTAGAGGAGAGAGGTAAAACTTCCTCCAAATCCTCAGGAATAAATGATATCCAAGAATCAGAGACCTAGGCATTATATTTTAAAAAAATGCATGGTACAAAGAAATGCCTACTGACCAGGAGATGACATTTATAAAATATAAAACCTTAAATGTGATTTTTTTTGAAGAAAAAAAAAAGTACATCTAAAAAAGAAGCAGGGGGAAATGGAAATAAATCAATGGAGAGCAAAGACACCATTGATGGAAGAGGAGGTGAGCAGGAAGCCTCTGACCACTGTGGGGAAAGGCTTGTGAGGAGGAGCCATGAGGAGATCATTCATGCTGGACACCGTTAGGAAGAGAGCTGAAAAAAAAAATTCCTTAATTAATAGCAAAAACTGAAAATACATCTCTCCCTCACAGCACACAGAAAGTCAATTTCAAATGAATCAGAGACTTCAATATAAAAGACAGACCTTTTAAACCTTTAGGAGAAAATGCAGGATAAGGTTTCCAGGCTCAGGGGCTGTGTTGTGTGGAAAGCTGATTCCTGTGAAGAGAAGGGGGTGTGGATGGAAAGTTCTGGAACCATAGACCTCAAACATGAGACTAACCTCCTGACGAGGGAGGCAGAGCCAAGCTTTGGAGTCACTGGCTGCCTTCATTTCTTTATTGAGGCTGTTTTCCAGAGAGGAGATGGGAAGCAGATCTTTAGGATGTGAGTCCACCATCTTTGACTTCAGCTCTCTGAGCGGGCGTAGCTTTAATGTTCAGTTCCTGGTTTTTCTTCACGTAACGTGCAGTTCTGGCTACTGACAAACAAGTATCTTGACACTCACGAATACATCTCACCTCTCAGTTATTGCGTGGAACAACAGACTAGTATTCAGAATATATAAAGAACTTCCATAAATATATAGAGACTGACGCTTTCAAAACAGTAAAATGGTCAAAAGTCCTAGATATTTTATAGAAGAATACAAAATGCCAGGTTAATATAGGAAAAAGAAGCTACCCCAAGAATCAAGAAAATGTAAATAATAAGCCACAACAAAATTTCATTTCTCAGCTATCAGACTGGTTTTAAAAAGGGTTAGCTCTCTTTGGAATCTGGGGTGTCATTTTAACTTTAAAAGTTTAGTCAGTTGCAATGCTTTTTACAAGTATGAAATAATAGTAGCTGGAGAGATGCTTTGGTGACTGAGAGAGCACATTGCTTTCCTGGAGGACCCAAGTTCAGTTCCGAGCTCCAAACCAGGCAGCTCACACTCTCCTGTGATTCCAGCTTCTCTGGTCTCCATGGACACCTGCACTTATGTGCACACACACACACACACACACACACACACACACTTAAAAACAACAAAAACAAATTTTAAAAAGCCTTCTTTGCATTGTTATTAGAAACATTTGCCCCTTCCTATAATTATCATAGTTAATCTTTTTTACTGGAATTTTTCTTATAATTTTATACTGGATTTTAAAAATTTTTACCATGCTTCTTCCTACATTTTGAATAAGGAAATATAATTGCTATTCTTGTGTATTGAATAATTTCAATATGCAATTACATAGCTATTATTTAAAGACAAGAATTTATGTTTTGAAATTAATATTCATAATTGTATGTAAAAGCTTAACATTCTTGTCCGCAACTAATATTTTTAATTTAAAATTTTTATCTTGAATCATCAATTTATGAAATACTTCAAAGGTTAGATTATTTTCAATAACTGGGTAAATCTATTAAAAATGTATAATTAGTTTCAATACTTGATAAGTTTGTTTTCTAACAAATGACATTTTTAATCTTTCTGCTTTCAAGCATGGAATAACTGAGCACGGTATAAGATGTCCAAAATGTAAACAAATGTATTAAGTATAATATAAATGAATAAATTTAAATTTTGTAAGTCATTCACTTTGGGGCTATTACTAAGCAACTAAAAATTTAAAAATTTTGTAGACTAATGTCTAAAACATGTCCTTGTACTATTTTCCCCAATGTGTGATGCATGGCTAAGAAAGAGAAAGGCTATTGCAGAGTTCTAACAAACTATGATATTTTAACTTTATTTTTATTTAGAATTTAGCCAATGTTTATAGAAGAATTCTATTTACACTTCTATACAAAGCTTGCCAACTGATAAACAAGTTTCACTACGTTAAAAGAATAATATGTTATAAAACCTGCCATGTTTAGTTCACATGTGGGGCTTTTTTTTTGTATTTCTGAGGTATGCACCATTTGCAATAGACTCTCATTTCTGTGCTTTGACTTTTACATTTTTATTAGGAAAGGCAGCGATGACCGTCTTCTCCATTCTCCTCTCCCAGAGAGCTAATTCTGCTCCTGTGTTAGAGTATTGTGTCCCTCTCAGAAATTCTGAGAG